TCTTTCCCTTTTCCTAAAAGGTGCTTGCAAGCAGTGCACATGACCTAAGTAGCTGCCCAAACATACTGTTCTCTGGAGTTTATTTGACAATTAGATTATATTTTTAAAATGTAGTTTTAGGAAATAGTCTTTGTGAGATTTTTTTTTATTAGATATTATTTTATGCTTTAAAAAAGAAGCTTTCAGTTCTCTATCCCAATTTTAATATTTCAAGAGATATATTTAAATATAATTGACTTCCTTTGCAATCCTGAGCATTTTATTTTATGCATTTAAAATTAGCATTCTTAGAAGGGGATTATGGGCCTCCCCAGAATGCCGACGTGGGGGTCCATGATCCCTGAATATTAAGAGCTCCTGTTCTGATTGGAAATTAGGAGCCTTTCTAAATGCCTGACATTTTAAATTATTATTATTCATTATTTTTTAGTATTGTGACTGTGCTAACAAAAAGAATCCTTATCCTTTAGAGAAATATGCTGGTATATTTACAGATGAAAGGAAAAGGAATGAACAGCAGCAGCTAAGAACCCTTCAGGGGCAGCAGGACCTGGGAAGTGGTTCCCGTGCAAGACTTTGAAGGTGGTGCTTGCCTTCTGGGGACACTTGAAAGTCACCCATAGGAGGCCACTTGAGTCTAGTCAGTGTCTTGGAGGCTGTCACTGGATCCCTGGGTCCCTTGATCTCAGCCGAGCCAGGCAGCTCCCTGGTCCGTTTGGGTTGTGTGCTCATTTCCATCCGTTTGAGTGCGTTCCTCCTCTTCTTTTTTCTCCTTTTTCTTTATTGAGATCTTTTTTTAATACAAAAAAAAGTATAAAAAGTAAACCAAAATAGCTTATAAACCCACCAGCCAGGTTAGTCTTTTCTCTTTTTGATGAAATAAACTCATGTACATAGTTAGCAAATTCAAAGAGTACAGAAAGAAAGAAAATCAAGAGTGAAATTCTCCTTTCTTGGGCTTCCCTGGTGGCGCAGTGCTTGAGAGTCCGCCTGCCGATGCAGGGGACGCGGGTTCGTGCCCCGGTCCGGGAGGATCCCACATGCCGCGGAGCGGCTGGGCCCGTGAGCCATGGCCGCGGAGCCTGTGCTCCGCAACGGGAGAGGCCACAACGCAAAAAAAAAAAAAAAATTCTCCTTTCTTGCCCCCTTTTGTAAACATACTGTTTATATATTTTGTATCCTGTCTATCCTTCTTGAGAAATTGCAGATAGAGATAGAAATCAGAATTTTTTATTTTGAGCACACGTTATAGTGTTGATTCTAATAACATATAATTGTAAATAAAAACCTTATAGTAATATATGCAGTCTCAAAACAAAAACAAAAGATCAGACCTTTTGAGAAGTGGGATAGAATTCATTGGCTTCCGTTTTCTAGACCAGGAAATAATCTACCAATAACCTTTGACACTTAGAAAATTGGATATTCTTTGATATGCCACTAAATTAAAACTTTCATTTGGTGGATTATCCAGCTACTCTGATAAAAGTGAATGGCTTGTCTTTGCTGCACACCTGAAACTAACACAACATTGTAAATCGTCTATGCTTCAACAGAAAGAAAGAAACGCAGGGAGGGAGGGAGGAAGGAAGGGAAAGTTAGTGGCTTGCTAATAACAAGTTAAATCAAGACTTCTGAGAGAATTCTTTATCTCTACCACTGGATAAAATACATGCAACATCCAAAGTTGTGCACTGGCAAATTCCATTGGACCCTACAACGTAAATTCATTGTTATTTTCTGAGACTACGTAACACATGAATTTATTGAATCCTTCTATGTCCCAGGACAAGTTCACAGTCTAGCAGGGGAAGCAGACAGTATTACCAACTATTTATAAACATGTGATTGCTTTTTTTTTTTTTTTTTTTTTTTGCGGTACGCGGGCCTCTCACTGTTGTGGCCTCTCCCGTTGCGGAGCACAGGCTCCGGACACGCAGGCTCAACGGCCATGGCTCACGGGCTCAGCCGCTCCACAGCACGTGGGATCTTCCCGGACCGGGGCACAAACCCGTGTCCCCTGCATCGGCAGGCGGAGTCTCAACCACTGCGCCACCAGGGAAGCCCTGTGATTGCTTTTAAAATAGAAGTATGGGCCATGTGTTATGGGACCACAAGGGCAAGTTATTAATTTGTGCCTAGAAAGCCAGGGAAGGCTGTTGGCAGTTGATCTGGTCCTG